AGCGGCAGAACCATGGCAACCGATATAACATCTTATTATGAAAAAAACGACCCCTGTTTTTGTTTTTAAATTAAAAAATAAATACGTCATATTGTACTATTAAAAATCGCTCGCCTTTAAATGTATAATATTTTCTTTCACTATTTTTATGCAATCGCACGATCTCGCCATGGGTCTGTTTTGGTCTTACAGCAAACTGCGGCCATGTCATTGACAAACATTGACCTGCAACACCTATTTATATTAGAAAAATATTCTGATGTAAGTCCGTAACTTACTACTAATCCACGGGTCGCGATGGGGGCGGAGAATGAATATAATCTCCCGGCAGCTCAGCAGTAAGCTCGAAGACTTTACACGTAAGAATTTGAAGTTCGATCCCACCATCCACCTGGCGAACACAATGTAGCTAGCCCATTGTTTTGCACTAATACTAAATAAAATGAGATCAGACAGAAGTTAAAAAAAAGTATAAAACATAAATAATTCCTAAAATGCAGTCGAGTCTTTAAGAACATTTACGACCAGCTTCTTAAAATGTCCCCCTGTGGGATAGCGGTAAGTCTACGGATTTACAACGCTAAAATCAAGGGTTTGATTCCACTCGGTGGATATAACAGATAGTCCGATGTGGCTTTTCTATGAAAAAACACACAAACTTCCTTAAAAGACAGAGTATTTAATAAATAAATAAAAAGCTTTAAGTGTAAATCTTATATATATAATATGTTTTTGAAAGTATAGTGTATTTTTACCCCTCATTTCTTGATTTGTGTTGGTAAGCTACTCTTACAGATTACAAGAAACGCTGTTGACCAGTGTGACCTAACTTCCAGAGATCATACCTGAGAACACATAATTAACAAGTTAATTTTAAAGAATGAATAGGTGTCTATTTCTACACCAGAATCACCAACAGAGCAAGAGTTTGTTTGTTTTTATGAATTTCGCGTAAAGATACACGAGGGTTATCTGCTCTAGCCGTCCCTAATTTAGCAGTGTAAGAGTAGAGAGAAGGCAACTAGTCATCACCACCCACCGCCAACTCTTGGGCTATTCGTTTTACCAACGAATAGTGCGATTGAACGTCACATTAGAACGCCCCCACGGCTGAAAGGGCGAGATGTTTGGTGAGACGGGGATTCGAACCCGCAGATTGCGAGTCGAGCGCCCTAACCACTTGCCCATGCCGGGCCCACAGCAAGAGAAACAAATCATTATGGGTTACTTATATGGAATTCCGAGGGAGTTTTGGTAACTATACAATAAACACAAGCTTAACTGAACGTAAACACACACATAACATGTGTATATGAAGAATGGAAGAAACAGAGAAGTATAAGCAAGCAAAGTTTACACAAATTAGAAAAACAATGATAATTATGAATACGGTTCAAATTAGCCGAAGTTTTAAAATATAACCTGGAAAAATCTTCTCGAGTTCTGTTTTTAAGATCAATGTCAAGTCTAGAAACACCTTGTTAATTATTATAACATGTAAGACAATGCTTTCTCTTTATTACCGAAACTTTCTGACCATTTAATTGATCTATGAAATGAGATGCTGTTGACAGGAAGAGGGGAATCAATTATTTCTTCAAAAAAAGGATGGATTGAAATTTTAAAAGAACAACTTAGACGAGTCTAATGGTAACTTGTAATTGTTACATTCTGCTCGTTTGATAATTTCCTTAATTTCCGGTATAAATTATTTCCGAGGAACTTCAGCGATACAAGTCCTCTCTTAATTAAAACTAGTTCATTCTTTCTTGATACAACTTTGTAATACACAGAATTTCCACAGACACTTTAAATATAACAATCTTTATAACACACGCTATAAATCACAGTGATTCACATACTTTACTTACAGTGTCTACTGTTCCCTTTATTCAATTATCTCTATCTTTAATCTATCTGCATATCTATCTATGAAATTCTATCTTCCTTTTTACTGGCTTTATTTCCGAGCTTATATACTAAAAAAGAGGGCGCCAGGAACAAATTAGAGTTACCAGGAAAATTTATGATCCTTCTAGAAACTCCAGGGCGCATGCTCCTAGCGTCGTGTGACTTCCTCTGTCGTAACACTGCCCCTTCCTTAGTATTCTTCGTCCCGAACAATAGCCACTTACATTAAACCAATAGATAATTAACAATAACTTGATCAAATCTACAGAATTTACAAACACAAAATTTAAACTACAGCAAAGTATCTTAATTTTACGGGACTTATCTTTTTCCGTACTGATCTCCGACTCGTTGGCATCTGCTTCACGTGGGATTCATCTGCTCCATCAGGAAACGTCCTATTATTGGTAACAGTGGTAGTAACTTCAGCAAGGGCTTCACTATTTCCCTTCTCAAAACCGGGTAGTTTCTTCTTCGACAGAGTCTTTTTCAGGTGACACGTCTTCAGCAGCGTCATTTGTTCCATTGTTCACTTCGTTCCAACTGAAATGTTCTGGACCATGATAATGCCAAAGCCTGTTGGCATGCGCCACCTTTAGCTTACCTCGCTGATCACATTTTATTCGGAAAGTCTCGTCTAAGAGATGATCCACTATGTCATATGAGCATTCCCATGGAGAAGACAACTTAGGACATTTCCCTTTGGTCTTCCTGGGATTATACAACCACACCTTGTCTCCTGGTACAAAGCTGACTTCATTAGATTTCTTATCATAACTTAGCTTCATGGAATCAGCAGACGTTTTCAAGTTTAAATGTACTTGGTGATGAATATCACCCATCCTTTCAGATAACACTTTCACGAACTCTGACAGATTTTTCAGGCAACTCTTCGCAAAGTGGGCGTCCTGTTAACAGATCCACTTGGAAATTGAAGTTCCCGACCAAACATCAACTTTGCTGGAGTGTATCCAGTGGCTTCATGCTCTGCTGTTCTATAGGCCATCAACGGTGGAGGGAGTAAGCCATCCCAGTCATCTTGGGAGCTATTACAAAACTTTTCCAATTTCTGGCCAAGTGTCTAATTGTACTATTTTACCATCTCATCAGACTGTGGGTGGAATGGCGTTATCCTGGTTATTCGTATGCAAAACAACTTTCAGCATTCATGGAACACAGCTGATTCAAAGTTACGGACTTGATCTGAATGCAGTTCGTATGGCATACCAAACCTGAAGAAGAACTCACAAATAGCTGAACCTACAGTTGTAAATTCCTGATTTGGTATTGCATATAGCTCAGGCCACTTGGTGAAATAATTCATCGCCACAAAAATGTACCTGTTTCCAGCACGAGTTTGGGGCAAAGGACCAGCAATGCCAATGGCTATTCTTTCCATTGGTGCACCAACTTTATATAACTTCATTGGAGTACGTCCCTTATGCTTGGGTCCCCTTTTAGAACAACATTAACTGCATGTCCTGCACCATTTTTCCACATCTTGCCTCATACCTATCCAGTATAATCTCTGTCGTAGATGATTGAATGTCTTCTTAACTCCGAGATTGTTTATTGGTTTAATGTAAGTAGCTATTGTTCGGGACGAACAATACTAAGGAAGGGGCAGTGTTACAACAACGGTAGTCACATGACGCTGGTAACACGTCATGATATTCTAGAAGTATCGGGGAACATCACGAATAATCCAGTATGTGCTAGGCGCCCTCTATTCCTGTATATAAGTGCGCCGGATAACGTAAGACAAATTAATAGGAATTGAATTGTAGACAGGCAGAGATAAAGATGGACAATTGAGTCAAGCGCGGTAGTGACCGTAAGTAGGTGCGTGAATCATTGTGAATTATAGCGTGTGTTTAAAGTGACTGTGGAAATTAAGTGTATTACAAAGTTGAATTGAAAAAGAATAAACCAGTTTTATTTAAGAAAGGACTTGTATCGCTAAAGTTTCATCCGAAAGAAATTATACAGGAAATTAACAAACGACCAGAGGCTTAACACAGGTTTTCTTGTCACTGCTGTAATCTCTCTTCTTGTTTATTTTCTCGTTCTTCTTGTTTTTTGCTGTTCTTGTATTGCTGCCATCAAATCTGCTAAGCTGTAGTTTGATTTGCCACTTCTCGTTTCCATCTTCTTTTTCTTTTTTTCTTCAATCCCACTTCTGACACCAATTTGTTACGTCTCTGTTCGTTTGTTAATTTTCCATAGTAATTCTTTCCGAGAATCTTCAGCGATACAAGTCCTTTCTTAATTAAAACTAGTTTATTATTTCTCAATTCAACTTTGCATAACACTTAATTTCCACAGTCGCTTTAACTCAAACAAACGCTATAATTCACAACCAACGATTCACACACTTTACTACTGCAATTGACTCAATTGTCCCTCTCTACCTCTTCAATCTGCAATTATTCATATTCCTGCCGTCACTTCTCGCCGGTCTTATATATACGAAATAGAGGGCATCTGGAGAACACTCGAGGCTTCACGAACGGGCATGATCTTTCTAGAACCTCATGACGTGTTACTAGCATCACGTGACTTCCGCTGTCGTAACAATATCTTAGCCCCCAGTGGCACAGAGATATGTCTTCGGACTTACAAAGCTAGAAACCGAGTTTTGATAACCGTGGTGGGCAAGCACAGATAGCCCATTGTGTAGCTTTGTGCTTAATTACAAACAAGCAACTTGGCCTGGCATGGCCAGGTGGTTAGGGCGCTCGACTCGCAATCTGAGGGTCGCGGGTTTGAATTACTGTCCCACTAAACATGCTCGCCTTTTCAGCCGTAGGGTGTTATAAGTGACGATCAATCCCACTATTCGTTGGTAAAAGAGTAGCCCAAAAGTTGGTGGTGGGTAGTGATAACTAGCTGCCTTCCCCCTCGTTTTACACTGCTAAATAAGTGACCCTTAGCGCAGATAGCCCTCGTGTAGCTTTGCGCGAAATTCAAAACAAACAAACAAAACAATATACCTTAAAAATCAAAACATATGTAAATATTAATAAACACCAATAAATCTCAGGGCACCACCTAACGTCAATATCATGCACAATAACTATCAACAACTCCTTGTGTTTTTTCCCGAAACTGTCACTGGCGCAGCGTGAGTATTGAGTGTAGGTATAAAATTCAGAAATCATTATAACTCTATGTAAAAATTGTTTAATGGAAGTAAAATGAGAATATTATTTAATTAGAAGACCCAAATAAGACATATAATATTCTAACTTCCAGTGTAATCTCGTACCTGTGTAAAGTTGTAACTTTTTATTTTTAATTTTGTATAGTCATTGGATAGCTTAAAACACGTCTCAAAATTTCACCAGTTAGTCGGTCATATACGTTGACACTTGATTTGACAGCCGAAACACGAGAAACTGAGATGACAAAAGAATATTCCACAGTTTCTGCAGAGAAAGAAAATCACATATTTTGCTCCGTAACGGCTATGTTAGTGTTAGCAGTGCTAATAAGCTAACACAGAGCACGGGTGGGGGAAGCAATTTTGGATTGGTCAGGCAATTCAGAACAGTGTGCAAAGCATGCCAGTGCTAGGTGTGTTTGGGTGGGGACATGCCCCCGTGGCAAATTTTGAAAAATAGGTGTTCTGAGATTGAATTTCATGCTAAGTTTAGTATAATTTATTTAAAGTATTAATCATTTGTAAACACTTCTTTATGTTTCACAAAAACTGGTGTTCACTGGCACTTATACTCACCATAGCTATAAGCAAGTACAAGTCTGTACACTTGCAGATTACATATGTAATTTATTATACATTTTTATACTGATTCATACATACTGCTTTAGGTCTGTCTGTTTACCTAGAAACTATTTCTGAAGTGCAAGTTAAAATTGAGAAAGTCTTAAGTTACTGTAACAAAATGTTGTTCTGGCTGCTGCCTAGTCTGCTGAACGTGCTTCAGCACACATACAGAACTTACTTCTGCTTTGTAAACTTTTTTAACTGATTATCTCATGAAACTGGTTTTAACATTTTTATGAGTTTTTTTCTTAAATAACGTAATTTATAATAGGTGCTTACATATGAGTAATGAAAGGTGTTTGTCATTTTGAAGGTAGATTTATTACTATCAGATACAACAAAAAAACATATGGGAACAATATTTATCTGTAAGTACCCTTCATATTATTTCTATAGTAAATATTGTTCTAAAGTCTCACAAAAGAGATATGTCATCATATTTGCAAACACTTAAGAATCTAGAAAACCTACAGTTTTACATGTAATGTGTCTTATAGTTCCCTAATGAATAGTATTATTATTAACTTAATATAAAATCTCAGATTACACAAAGACATAAAGTGTTAAACCATTAAACCTGCTTTCTCCTATACAGGTTCTGTACCAGACTTTCATGACAGGAAAAAATCTTTTACAAGATCCAACTGGTAGTGACAAAAGTAGTTGCAAAATGGCTGATATATTAAAAAAGAGCTCTATATAATGATTTGTTGCACAGGTTTCTAGCTATCAATTTCTTTATGAAATGAAAGAGTATCTCTGTACTGTTCTAACAAGTGAGGATTTAAATCTTGTAAGTTTGCTGGTTACTAAAGTAAACCCCAAACAATGTTTATTAACATGCAAGATTACTTGGTCAGCTTAGGAGAAATTCTTGTACAACTGACCACTGACTTTACAACTCAGACTGCTGTTACTGATTGCAAAAATAGCCTTAGAATGTCTGAACTGGTTGCTCTGGCTCTTTCTGTAGCCATATCATTTTTGAACTAGTTGCTCTGGCTCCTTCTGAGTAGCCACTGAGTGTCTGAACTGATTGCTCTGGCTCCTTCTGTAGCCAAAGAGTGTCTGAACTGTTTGCTCTGGTTCCTTTTGTAGCCACAGAATGTCTGAACTGTTTGCTCTGGTTCCTTCTGTAGCCACATAATGTCTGAACTGGTTGCTCTGGTTCCTTTTGTAGCCACAGAATGTCTGAACTGTTTGCTCTGGTTCCTTCTGTAGCCACATAATGTCTGAATTTGCTCTGGTTCTTTCTGTAGCCACAGAATGTCCGAACTGTTTGCTCTTGCTCCTTCTGAGTACAAATATGAACTACAATCTTTCAGTCCTTTATACATCAGGAGTTTTATGTCCTCAAGGATTTTGAAGGAGTTTAAGGATGGAGTAGGTGAGCCACTTGCTAATAATTTTTGTAAGTCTTTGAATAGTGAGCAGATGCCAGAAGACTGGACATTGGCTAATGTAACTCTTCTTTTGGAGGGAGGTAATAAAAATTATCATAATAGGCCTATTCATCTTACATTTTTGGAGGAAATAGTCTTTAAAGTCTGCTAAAAAGATGCTTTGCAAATTCATATAGCAAAGATTAAAGTTTTGTTAGATAGTCAACATGGTTTCATTAGTGGAAAAATCATGCTTTACTGATCTTTTAATGTACTTTGAAGAGGTTACTGCCTATGTATATGAGTGTACAGGTGTGGATTTGGTATATATTGATTTTCAAAAAGTATTTGACAAGGTGCCCCATTAAAGGCTTGTTAAAAAATTATCTCTTTGGGTGTGTTGGATAAGTTAGCTCATTGGGAAGCAGAGGGCTTTTATAAATGGAGTTCATTCAAACTAGATCAATGCTACCTCAGAGCTCAGTGTTAGGACTGATACTCTTTTTAATTTACACGAAGGATATAGATGAAAAAAATAGTCAGTAAGTTGTGTAAACCTGCTAATATTTTAGGTGTTGGTAGCTATGAGGAGGATGCTGCTGCTTTATAAAAGGATTTAGATCATATCGTGAGTTGAGAGGTAAATAGCAGATGGCTTTTAATTAAAATATGTTCAAGGCAATGCATGCGAGTTATCATAATTGAAATTATAAATATACTAGCAGTGTTTTGATTGATCAAGCTCATAAGCCATCCAAGCAGGTGCTGTTATTAGTGTTAGGGTAAATAGAACTTAAGGTTGTATTTATAAAACAATCGAATATGTCTAAATAGGTTATAATTGTATAGACCTCTGCTTAGGCCACATTTGAAGTACTGTGTTCAGTCTTGGGCCTTTTAGCCATAGGAAAATAGGTTAAGATCTATGAAATTGTTTTATAATATAAAAGAAGGGTTAGAAAGGATCTAATTGAAGTGTTTAGATTCTCCATTAGGTTTGATGTTTTGCTGCATATGGAGATAAGGAATAATGATAATTTGGTTACAGATTTGAAAAAAAACAAATTTTGAATTGATGCAGCAAGAATTATCTGTTATGAATTGGGCAACTGAGTTATTTGGTGACACTGATCAGAGGTGGAAAAGTTTAAAGATAAATTTTTATATATTCAAGGTAAACATATTCCTTATAGAAAGAAAAGAGTAGCTACAGGTAAAAAACCAGGCTGGCTCACAAAGTGTATAAGAGATAAAATTAAAGAAAAGCATCATAAAGTTAAGAAATTTAAATTGACTGATATGACAGGATATTTTGAAGATCAAGAAAGTTGGTGAAACATTAAATTAGGACATCAAAAAGGATGTATGAGAAAAGGTTGGCTGAAAATGAAAAATTAACAGTAAGGATTTCTTTAAATACATTAAGGGTAAAATAAATATTTGGATGGGGATAGGACCCTTGAGGGATGATAAAGGAAGGCTGAATATCTGATGATTATGAGATGGCTGGGTTATTAAATATTGCTTTTTCTTTGGTTTTTAACTAATAAAGATTTAAGCAGTATTCCACATCTTGAACAGTTAATAAATGCAAACAAGATCAAAGAAGATGACTGCATTAATTCTGAGTTGGTTAAGAAAAAATTGGGAAGTTTAAAGAATGGTAAGGCTCCCAGGCCAGATGATATTTTCCCAAGAGTTTTGAAGGAGGTTAAAGATTGGATATCTGAGCCACTTGCTACTATTTTTGTCAGTTCTTGAATAGTGGGCAGGTACAAGAGGCATGGAAGTTAGCTAATGTATTTCCTCTTTTCATATGAGGTGATAATAATTGTTCCAGTAATTAGAGATCCATTAGTCTTACATCAGTTGTGGGAAAAGTTTTGGAAAGTCGGTTAAAAGATGCTTTGTAAAGTCATTTTACAAAGTTTGAAATTTTATTGGATAGTCAACATGGTTTCACTAAGGAAAAATATTGCCTTACAAATCTTTTGACATTCTTTGAAAAGGTTGCTGTTTATGTAGATGAGGGTAAGAGTGTAGATTTGGTGTATCTGAATTTTCAGTAAGCATTTGATAAGTTGCCACATAAAAGGATTGTAAAAAAATTATCTCTATAAATGTGGGGGATAAGTTAGCAAATTGGATAGAAGAGTGGATGGATGGAAGAAAGCAGAGGATTGATACAAATGGAGTTCAGTCAAACTGGATTAATGTCACAAGTTGGGTACCTCAGGGCTCAGTCTTAGGACCTTTGCTCTTTTTGATTTACATCAATGACATAGTTGAAGGAATAGTCAATAAATTATTTAAATTTGCAGATGATATTAAGGTCTTGGGTGTTGCTAGCTGTGAAGAGGATGCTACTGATTTCCAAAAGGATTTAGATCATTTAGTTGGGCAAATAAATGGCAGATGGGTTCTAATTATAATAAATGCATGATAATGCATATGGGTTATCATAATTTGAATTATAAATATAATTTGGATGGGAGTAACCTTAACGGTGTTATGAAAGAAAGTGATCTCGCTGTAATAGTTGATCAGTCTCTAAAGCCGTCCAAGCAGTGTGCTGTTGTTAGTAGTAGGGCAAACAGGATTTTAGGTTGTATCTACAGAAATTTTGAATACAAGTTGAAAGAGGTTATAATTTCATTGTACAGATCACTGGTTAGCCCACATTTGGAATATTGTATTGATTCTTGGGCTTCTTACCTTAAGAAGTACATTGAATTGTTGGAAAGTGTTCAGAGGATATGAAAATATAGATACAGTGCTAAAACAGATTTTTGAAATAATGTCATGTTTGGCAAAAGAGATTTAACCTTTATCTATCCAGGGTATAAATAAGCAGTGACTTGATGCATTTATTAAAATTAAAACTATTTTAATAATCTGCCTGTGACTAGTGGAATGGCAAGATACCGTGTTCTTTCACTGAAACTTTAGGCAGAGTAGACATACTATGTTTGAGAACTTTAATGAACTGTTACTGACTATTGAATTGAAAGGAGACTACATTTCAGCTTCCGTACTGAGGCTTTCTTCATTCTAAAGAAGGCCTCAGTATAGAAGTCAAAATGTCACCCCCCTTTTCATTAAATAGGCGTTGGCAGTTCATTAAAGTTCTCAAGTATGAGAAATGCAAGAATGAATATTAGGGATAGTAAACTAACAGTTTAGAAACACACACAGTGATTTGTATTATATAAATTTCAGGAATTGTTTGTTGTTATAAATAACATAACAAAACTGAACACAATATTCCAAATGTGGCCTAACCAGTGACCTGTACAATGAAATTCTAACTTCTTTAGACTTATATTCAATATTTCTGAAGATACAACCTAATATGCTACTTGCCTTACCACGAGTAACAGCACACTGCTTGGATGGCTTTAGAGACTGATCGATTATTACACCAAGATCCCTTTCCTTAACACTGTTAAGGTTATCTCCATCCAAATTATACTCATAAAATGTGAAATTATATGCCTAATAAAGAGCTGTGGAGTGTTATTTAAAACATATTCAAATTGTTGGGTATTTTGATGAGTGTGTATGTCTATTTTTATTTGGAATTTTTTCTCGAAAGTAACATGCCTTAAACCTCCCTTAATTTCCCTCATTTCAAAGAGGACAACTTCAATTGTTTAATTGTAGCTTATAGTTGCATGAAGGAATTTAACTTACATTAAGTATTCTAATGGCAAATATTTATTTTTCAGTTTTTCACATTGTAATTGATTTTTTTTCTTTTTCTTCAGGCTTTAAAATGAGGCACTTATGACCACAGTTGGACTCGACTTGTGTGTAACAGCTCGTCTGTGTAACAGGATGTTAGGGACTATCTGTAACATTTTATTGTTTTTGAAGATTTTCCTAATTGTTTTACTACTGAGAAATAATAAAACTTATGGAACGTACATTGATAAATACCTGGATGAGCAAGGAGAATATTATTTAGACTTTATAAAACCAGATGTAAAATCAAAACAATTTATTAAAACTACCTTTGACACTAAAAATCATGTTGAAAAATTCTGGTATAATCAAATATATTTTAAACGTCATGGGCAATCAAGTGTTACAAAAGAGTTTCTTCTGCCAAGACAGAAAGGTAAATCTGATAAAAAGGGCTTATCTGAAGTGACTTTTCCAAATTACATTATAAAAATTAATGCAAGTAATTCTACTGGAGCATTATCTCATTTCTGGAAAAGCACAGGCTTGTGGTAAGTTTGTGTGATTGTACATTTAAGTATTGGTTGTGAAAAATATTATATATAGTTGGATAGTATTAGAATTTATGGTTTAAAAAAGATTGCTTAATCTTTCCTCTGGGCCTTTTAACTAATGATTTTGTTTTCTTAATCTTCTAGGAAGATATTTGGAATAGAAAAAGTACAGTTATTGATATCACATGAGGGAAAGACATATTGTGGTTTAATTCCCACTTTATTGATAATTAATAATATTGTTACGTCTCTGGTCGTTTGTTAATTTTCCGTATAAATTCTTTCCGAGAAACTTCAGCGATACAAATCCTCTCTTAAATAAAACTAGTTTATTCTTTCTCAACTCAACTTTGCAATACACTGAATTTCCACAGTCACTTTCACTTAAACACACGCTATAATTCACAATGATTTACGCACTGTACTTACAACATGACTCGATTATCTGTCTCCCTATCTCTCTGTCTGCTATCCAATTAATTATCTCACTTTATTTGCTGCACTTATATACAAGATTAGAGGGCATCTAGAATGCACTCGCCTCTTTATGAACCTTCTAGACACTTATCACGTGTTACCAGCGTCATGTGACCTCCACTGTCGTAACACTGCCCCTTCCTTAATATTGTTCATCCCAAACAATAGCCACTTACATTACACCAATAGATAATTAACAATAACTTAATCACATGTACAGAATTTACAAACACAAAATTAAAATTCAACAAAGTATCTTACTTTTATGGGACGTATCTTCTTCTGTATTGGTCTCCGTCTCGTTGGCTTCTGCTTCACGTGGGGTTCATCACGCACTTTATGATTCACGCACTTTACTTACAGCCACTACCATGCTTGACTCAATTGTCTGTCTCTGTCTGTCTGCAATTCTATTCCGATTAATTAAATTCGCTTTATCTGGTGCACTTATATACAAGAATAGAGGGCGCGTAGAAAAAGACCAGAGTTTCCACAAACAGACATGATCCTTCTAGAATATCATGACGTGTTACTAGCATCACGTGACTTCCGCTGTCGTAACAATATAAAAAGGGTGTTTAAATTTAAATAATCAATAGAGAATTGTGAAAAGTCAACCACATTAATGTAGTTCACTTCAGTTGTATCAAAAGTTTCAAATATGTTTACATTGAATTGTTCTCATAGTGTTATATATCCTAATTGATTCTTGGCAGGTAATATACTAATTACTTTATAAACTTCAGTTACATCATTTTATGATACATATGGTTTAACTGTTTTGTATAAAACCTTTTCTTGTTTACAAAATGACTTTTATTATGAGAAGAAATTTAGAAAATACATAAAATATTTCACTTTTGGTTTATATTTCTATAAATGTAAAAAAAGAACATAATGGAGCCAGAGGACATCAACCATCATTTCTTATTTTGAAGATATTTTAAAATAAGTCTCATTCCTATCATAGTGGTTTTTGGTTTTTTCAATAAAGTACTAGGAAGTAATGTAAAATCATAGAAACTCTTTACAGGAGTGCCATCTTTTCATAATGAAGTTGTTTAAAGATTAAACCCCAGAAGTCGATTGTGAATTTTTATATGCTTGGAATGGAGATGAAATTTATGTTGCCAGTAAATTTATGCAGAAATATGTACTTTCTATCTACCATGTATCAGAATTAAGGAAAATATTGATGACATTGTGAATGGCCATTTTCTTTTCAGTCCACCAGATCCTCACCAAGATGCTTATCGTTTCCTGCTAAGTCCAGACATGGAACAAAACCTAGCACTTCTTGGAGCACTGCCAGGCCAAGGCATACAACAAGTTAGAATTCACTGGCTGTTAAATCTCATAAGTGCTCAGTATGTCTGGATTAAGTTGATTGTTTTATAAGACAGATAAACTTTTGTAAGAAAATTTTAGTACACTTTAAAGTGCTAAACATTTCATCTAAACTACTTTTGTTTTTGGCTTATGTGGCACACACTTTTTGAGAAATATAACCTTGATAAGTTAATGGAAATATACCACAAAATTGTTTATTTATATTCAATTAGACAAGTTCTAAAATATGTAAATAAAGTTTACAATTTTTGAATAGAAAATTAAACAAAACACACAAATGATTCAAAACCTGTCATCGAGCTAACGATGGACCAGATGGCTTGATGTAGCTCGTACTTAACCTGTCATGGAGCTAATGATGTAGCAGGTGGCTTGATGTAGTTCATACTTAACCTGTCATGGAGCTAATGATGTACCAGGTGGCTTGATGTAGTTCATACTTAACCTGTCATGGAGCTAATGATGTACCAGGTGGCTTGATGTAGTTCATACTTAACCTGTCATGGAGCTAATGATGTACCAGGTGGCTTGATGTAGTTCATACTTAACCTGTCATGGAGCTAATGATGTAGCAGGTGGCTTGATGTAGTTCGTACTTAACCTGTCATGAAGCTAATGATGTACCAGGTGGCTTGATGTAGTTCATACTTAACCTGTCATGGAGCTACACATATACACAGATGTTATGGTGTGAACACCTTTTATACACTGGTGAAGAATTAGTACAATTATACATGTCATAAGACATCAGTATTAGGCCTATTACATTTTTAAAAACTATATTCTTTAATTAGTTCCTTAGGGATTTTCAAGAGTTAGAAGAGTGTATAATAACAGTATTCCAACTTCACTACATTTTGTTTTTAGACAAGTTACAATAAATTTTAAGTGGACTATTCTGGATCTCTTAAGAGAGGTTGCAAACATGTTTTCATTGGTTTTGAATCAGAAAACTCACTAAAATCTAAACATCATTTGTAAGTTGTAATAAATTACCATTTCTTTTATTTACAAATGTGGCTAACTATGGTTTTGCAAATCTGGGTTTTTTTTTATCTTTGATAAGTTTTTTCACTTTCTTTCTCTTTTCTTATTAGTGCAGATCCTGATATGGTTGTTTGAATTGATAAAGAGTGCCTTACTAACAATTGGTAGGTGGTTAACTTGTTACAGCGCTTATCCTGCATTCAAATTCTGTTCGGGAAAGATGTGAAAAGTTGAGATTACTGCAGAAACATTGTTGTCAACATAAGGCCATCCAATGACTCTGAGATAAGAACCAAGATGGATCTTGTTCGTGAGAAGTGAAAGATTTAGCAGCTTAAGTTATTAATAATGTGTCTTAGTGACAGTTGCAAGTAACTTAACTCATTAGGGGAGAAAAGTTTTTGGATATAAAGGCAAGCCCAGAAAATGCAAGTCAAAACAGATTACCATAAGGAAAACTAATTATCATCCCATGACACTTAGATATGTCCCAAGGAAAAGTCAAAAATGTGATAGTTTGGGTTCTATAAAAACTACTGACTAACAGTTTTTAGTCAGCTTCACTTTTGGCAGAGCACCTGCCTCGTATGAACAAAAGTTCCAGGTTAAAATCCTGCTCACAGACGATGCAAAAATGAAATTTCTGCTATAGCATTAAAATCATTAATTTCCCATTATTTTATTTTTTATATCCTTATATTGTTACCAAACATATGGTTATTCATTTCATAAAATTAATTTTATCAACTGCAGTTTCATTCTATGAATTGTTTTTAACTATATTCTTAAAGACAGATGAAAAAATAATAGTAACAGTCTTCTAAGTCATCAGAAGTATGTTTAACAGAGATTTGAATAACTTTGCCTTATAATTTCTTTGCATTAATACTTGTTTTGAACATGGATTGAATCCATAGGGCCAAAAATACATTTATATAATAATCTTTGTCACAGTAGTTTCATAAGTACAGTTATTATAAATAAGTTTTTTGTTTTTCTTAGGTTAACACTGGAAGGTAATCCTGTCTTTAATTTCACAAACTTGGACAAACTTATCCATTCTTTATGGAAAAATGGACTACATCCTGGCTTTGAACTTATGGGAAATCCATCAAATATTTTTTCGAATTTTGAGAATTTAACCGAAGTTAGGTGGTGGACAAGTCTGGTTCAAGAATTATCTAATCGATATATTGGTAATTTATCAGTCATTTGTTGTTTCTAAGGAAGCCAGATCAGACTTATATACTGTGTGTTTCTTTATATATATATATATATATATATATATATATATATAATATATATATGTCTGAGATACGACGACGACGACGACGAAGGGTAGGAAG